AAATATGAGTCTGCATTTAATGCTGATAAGAGGTGACAGTTAAAGTAGCGATGGTCAGAATTACAATAACTTATGGAATAGCTATTTTAATGTTATAATTGTTGTATAAGCTTATATCGTTATATATTTTAGCCATAATATCTGAAGCCTGAATTGAAAAAAGTCCAGCTAGGTCTCAGTAGCAAGGCCACCTCCTTCTCTTCTACCTCACAGAGTTTCTTTTTACACAATCAGCGTTACGATGTTGAAAGAAAAATGTAAATTATTACTGTATAGGGAAAAAAAAGCAGTGTAAAAATATACATTTTCTGCCCTGTTTAGTAGCATTAATAGTATCTTAATGCAGATATTTTTATCGTTTTATAAGCTCATAAAAGTGTGACTGTTTTCACAGGCGACCTTTGTTAGTGAGGAGGCTGTTCAGCATCGATCGGAGGCTCAACACTCCTCTGACAGGTACCAAACATTTCCATTTTTTAAAACAAAATACTCAAGTGCACCGTTGAGAGCTAACCAAAGTAAAGTGACTAGACTATTTGTGTGAGTGCTGTTTTATTAGCTGACTGTTCTGATCCTCTGATGTTGTGACATGGGACTGTACATTAATATTGTTGGGGACAAGGGCATGACCAAAGTTTTGAAAGTTGCTCGTGATGCATCTTAGGACCCACAGTCAAGATACACAGTAGTGAGTAAAATACACCAACTCTATGAAGTAAAATCCTTCGTTCAGCAATATGCAGAATAAAAATGTTGGTCATATTTAGGAATGTTGATTTATCTTGATTAATCATGATTAATTGTGATTATACATACTGTATATAATCACAATTAATGATGAATAATTTTAATTTTTAATCAATAGCCCTATTTTAAATGTGTTTTTAAGCACAGTGTAACACAGTAGTCACATGTCTATTGTTATTGTTACTTAGAAACACAGAAATACATATTTTTCAGACAGACAGCTCAACAAACGCTTTGATGTTAACAGAGTTGAATATCTACGTCTTTTGAAATCTCTTCTGGCATGCTATAATTCTTTGCTTGACATAAACCCTTGTGCTCCTCTTCCTTCTCTTTTCCTTTCTCTTTGTTCCCCCTTCAAGCTCTAGTCTGGCTAAACTTACAGAGCAGCTTCAGGCCACACAGGGCAGGTGAGCCCACCTCTCTGTGCGGCTGTGTCTTTCTCACTGTCTGCATGTTGGTTTGCTCTCTAAGCTCCTGTGTGTGCTCTTCTACTTCTACTTTTAACAATTGTTATTCATATAATCTGTTTTAGAGTGTATTTATGTAAAGTACTCTAATGCCCGTGTGCAGGCGGAGATAAACATTTGCAGCTGTTTTTGTGCAGGTATCGGGAACTCGAGGAGAAACTTGATTACCTGCAGAAAAGTTCAGCTCAACGTGACAGAACTGAAGCTCTGCTCAAACAAAAGGACAAGGACTGCACTCAGGTAATAAACATAAAGGTCAAACTGATACACAAGTTACTGATAGCAGTTTTATAATTACCTTGGACCATTACATGAGTTCTCTTCTTTCTGCAGTTGGCCAAGGACTGTGAGGCTTTAAAAGCCCAGGCGACATCCTTACTTGGAGAGCTGAAAGAGAGACAGAGCTGCTTAGAAAAAAGTGAGCATGACCGCAAAATTTTGGAGGAAAAGTAAGTGATCATTGGTCAGGAAAATAAATAATGAATAAGGTTTTGGGTCTCTGTTGTGCTCATCTGTACCACATTCACTTCCACTTGTGTGCAGACTGGGTAATAAGCTGAAGCCTCTACAGGCTGCAGAACGAGAGCTGGATCAGCAGAGGAAACAGCATCACGTGGCTATGGACAAGCTGCTGCTGCAGACCCAGAGCCTGGAACAAGCGCTAAAGACTGAGCGTCATGTGGTGACAGAGGAAAAGTGGGTCCAGCAAATACAGAATCAGTAGCTGTGTTAAACGTAATGTTAGTAATGGGAGTATGTAAACGTTTTTCTTTAAAAGATCATTTTTGTAAAAACGATTGGTGTAAATTACAATGAATGAGGATATTTGACTGTGGAGCACAAAGACAGTAAGGCCTGTCAAAAATGTTATGATAATACAACACTGTATAAAAAAAACAATTAATGGTTTTAATAGTTACTTCTTTTTTTCAGGAAAAAGCTGACTCAGCTGCAGCATGCCTACACCTGCCTCTTTAGAGATTATGATTCTAAACTGAAGAGTGAGGTGAGTGATAAATACATCTTCTCATTGGATTAATATCGGTAGTGTAGCTGTTCAGTTAGTGCTAAATAAGCATTTGTGTTTCTGTACCAGGGAGGAGATCTGTCCATCAGACTGGAGGAGGCAGAGCGAGCACTTGCCCTGAAACAAGATCTGATTGACAAACTGAAGGAAGAGGTTGAGCAGCAGAAAGGTTCACTGGAGACGGTTCCTGTCCTCACTGCACAGGTCTGACCACATCACTGTCCAGCAGAAGGATTTTGTTTGTTGTAGTTACAAGATGTTCCTCAGCTGTAGCAGAAGTGGAAGTGAGATTGTTAAGCATGCATCTCTTGTAATCCACCTACTAACCAAAGAGACAAACTGTGCGTTTGTCTCTTTGGTCGCTCATCTTGGATTTTTTTTTTTTTTTCAGGCCGAGATCTACAAGGCAGATTTCTTAGCAGAACGAGAAGCAAGAGAGAAGCTGAACCAGAGGAAGGAGGAGCTGCAGGACCATCTGACACAGGCCATGGCTGAGATTGACAAACTCAAACAGGAAGCCACATCACGGTATAATAAAATCATAATACATGGAATGTTATCTACAGTTGGGCTGCACTGTAAAATGTAATCATTTTCTGTGCTGTTCATCTCTGTAGTGCACGTATGGTGGAAATGAAGATGAGACACATGGAAGACTTTTCACCACGGGCTTCACACATTCCTCCTCCACAAAGTAGAGTAGAATTTACATATTACACTTATTCAGTCATCTGAGCCTCACTCAATTTCCATTAGTTTGACCATTGTCTTTTTTCTCTGTCCAGATGTGTTCCCAGGTCCAGCTTTTAACACAGTGCCTCCTGCCCCCTCATTCCGCATCCCCTGTTTGGCTCCAGCGGGTGATCCAGGAGCTGAAGATGTGCCTGATTTACGTTGTCCCAAATGCCAGTACCAGGCCCCAGATATGGACACTCTGCAGATACATGTCATGGACTGCATACAGTAACAAAAACAGTGTCGGTACTGGGACAACAACACACACGTATGCAATTATGTGGTGCATATATATTTACTTTACTGTTTGATGTACATTTCTGGACAAGGACTGGGAAAATGTGTTTGGTACTTGCACCGTACATTGTCAGCCATGTTAACACAAACACCTACAGAATACCACTCACACAGACAAAAAAAATTGTATAGCTTTTATATCTTCCGGTCCAGACACGTGGCAAACGGATGACAGTGAGAACAAATGAAATGAAAAGAGCCACACTGGTGTATTTACTAATCTGATCCACAGACACAGTTTCTGCTGCATCTTTTCAGTTCTGTCGCCGTACTGTTTGTGTTGCTGTTTCTTCTTGTCACTTTCTTCTGTCCTCCTTTCCTCTCCATGCCTTAACTTTGCCTTATTGATGCACATCATGCCCACCAGTGTTTCCACGTGTCCCTCGCATCCGTTCTATTTCAAGGATACATCCATACTACAATGCAGATTTAATAATTAAAACTGCATTTTTAATCAATAAGCAACAAGCTAAAAACATGGTTTTCATCTTACATGACTTGGAAATTGCAGTCAAAATCATACGCATCACTAACACACATCAGATAAAAATCGGCATGTTCTGGTGTAAATGAAAAGCTGATGTTTCCCTGAAACGAATGCAGTTTCAAATATGTGTTGCACCCACAGCACGTCACATGCAGCAGGTTTGTGCAGTTGCATTTTGACGCATAAGAATGATATTGACAAATAGTAAAATGTTTTAGAGAAGATCAAATATTTTAACTGTGGTGAATCACCACATGCTGGTTTCACGTGGTGATTTTCACATGGCGGATTCTTCGGATCCTTCGGATTCACATTGTGTATAGTTGTGATGCAAGAAAAATATATTGACCTATATTAAATATGTAGATTATATCCCAATTGTGAGGCAGAGACAGGGTACATGTGCTAACTCTACACAGAGAGTTTAGTATATCATAATATATGATTTCCGACAAAATATAAAAATTATGAAACACTCCAGGCAATTTTTTTGTGACTAGAAAAAGACAGATAATTCCCTGAGATATCAACAATCATAGTGATTATACTGTAATGCTAGTGATGATGCAATCAAACCACAGATGAAGACAATTCAGTAGTTGGTTGGCAGTGGGCGGTCTGCATACATTGCCGCTGATCCCTGGTCACCTGTATACTATTTTGCACACAGTAGCTTTAGTAATACTATGAAATTGCACAGTCTATTGGGGGACGAAAAACATTTCAGAATACTTAAACGCAAATTTGAATATCTCTTAAACTGAGCATTACAACATTGCTGTTGTGTGAAAAAGACATACTATATCCAGAGTGTGATGTATTTGTTTGTAATCAAAAATTGCTTTGAATGTAGAGGGCTGCTGTAGTAAGCCGGTATTATTGGGACAATGCCTCTTACCAGAAGGATGAGGGTTTGACTCCAGGCTGTGCCAATGTGTTCCAGGGAGAACCTTGGGTTTGGGATCTGTATCAAAATATTCAAGTGATTATCCACTGTAGAGCCCACGAAAAAATGGAATGCAAAAGCAGTTTCCTTCTCTCTAGAGTAGTATGGACGTAGCCACATTCTCTTAAGTTCGCTGGTATCTGAGGAGGCACTGTTGCCAAACTATGACATACCATAGATTCGGCATGTTTGTGTAGACTTTGACTGTGTCATCCTTGTACACAAGATAATTTTTGAGCAAAGTGATGATTTGTCAAACACATGCTGTACATCATGGGTTTATCAAACCCTCAGAGAAATCCACAATACAATGTGAATAACCTTGAGAAATTGAGCATATAAAAGTATGTTTTAATTATAATTGTTGCTTGTCTATATTACCTCAAACAAGATCTATGATGTAGTAGAGATGGATTTACTCTTGTTGTGTGCTTGTATTCATCCCAACCCTGTTGAACGGTTCCACTGCTTTATCTCTGACGCTGAACTACCCTAACCTGATTTCCTCTGTGCTCCTGGTTCTGTCTGATCTTTATACATGGCGTCTATTTACATTACTGAATGTAAGCACATATTGTTGGAAGTTCCTTCACAGTTTGTGTGACTATTGTCCGTAATTATGGGTTATTCAGTGCAAAGAACTTTGTTTTGAAACTGTTGAAGATTTACCAAATAAATCTGTTATTCATTATATTCTCCATATAGACCTTTTATGCCTAATCGGCATTTTATAATGGCAGAAAAATACTTTCACCTTTGAAATTTTCTAATACAAGAAAGTAATAATATTCCATAATTATCACAGTATTTGGATAAACTGCTGCTTACTGTCAAGACTGGAACTGGAATTATTACTTCATTTTTTTAGGTGTTTATACACTATAAAGTGTTAACAAAGGTTTACGTAGCTTGGCGAACCTACCATTAATCATTATTTTGAGTCAAATAATATGAGCTACATATTCAATTTTGGTACCGGAAGTGTAATTGCGTTTATGTTTATTCCCTTAATTCTCGATTAAACCTGACCGCCCTTGATAGAATTTGTATTAGGAACTGTGCAACATACAACTTATTTAATGTTTCTAATTAATTACAGATTTTCGTTACAATTTTGACTATATTGTCTTCTAAAATTTCACGGACGCATTGTCAAATGTCAGCAAGTTAGGTAGCCCACGGAATTACCGCTTCCGACTAACAAATAAGATCTTCACTTTGATGTTCTGTTCTGTTTACAACATAGTTTGAATCATTTGTTTCTCAAACCGTTATACTCAACGTAACTGGAGCCACTAAATTGGTCTTGACGTTAAAATGTTGGCTGGTTAACCATTATTGTAAGAACAAACGTTGTACCGGAAGTATAGCTGTTTTTCATTCCCTTACTTGACGGGCACGTCGACCGTTGGTTGGACACGCGTTCCATTCATCTCCGCGTTTCGTATTTATCGGTGTCCAACAGCTGGTGAGTGTATTTTAAGGTTTGGAGCTCTCTCCAAGCAGCATGTCAGGCTCCACTTCCCCGCCTCCGTTGGCTGAGGCTGGGCAAACTGAGTCTTGTTTTCCTCCCGGATACAAGCCATTCAAACCCGAGGAGCACGGCCTGGAGCGCGGCTTCCGTCTCACGGCATATTCCGATCTAAAAGGATGAGGCTGCAAAGTCCCGCAGGAGGCTCTGCTCAAACTCCTGGCGGGACTGGAGACGGACCGAGTTGACGGTACTGGGAAGGCTGGAGACCAAGCAGCGGACTTCGGCCAGCAACTCTCCGCTCCCCGACTCGGTACCGCACACCTTCAAAATGTTTCTCAAAATTAGCTGCCTGCTAACTGTGCTAGCCTGTGTTGATTTATTTAATATTAATATTTACAATAATTCATAATTTCTTTGAATTTATATCAATGCTAAATTACAAGTTATTCTAAAATGAACTCTTACCAAAGTAGATAATGGTTATAACAATGTGTAATAATTAACAGAAGTCCTTTAAAATAATTTATTTTTCCCCAAGAATGTCTAAGCATGATTCAGCAAGAATCCCTCTTAAAAAGGGGGCAAAAGTCATAGTCGTCACCGTGTATCACTAACTTCTGTAAATAAGTTGCACGGCCTTAAGTGAAAACATTTTTCAGGGTAATAATTTGTCCCGACTTTGCATCTTGGTCTGTGTATTTATATAAATATGAATCCGTACGATATAAACAACTCAAAACTTAACTATGTTTTTCGTTTTGATTTACGTTCGAAGCATTCCAAAATGTTTATTTACCAAAGTATTACTTTGCAAAACATACAATGTAAGCATAACTGATAAGCCTCCCAAAAATTTAGTCTTTTGAAATATTGTTTTTGTGCATTTATAAACTAAGGACATTAACATCACCTTAACAATTACTCCAGTGTTTGGGCTTTTATTTGTCACATATAGAAACATTTGACATTAGTTCAAACTTTTAAATAAAGTTATGCTATTTAAGTAAATGCAATACCTAAGGATTACCAGAAGTCAAAGACAGGAGTCAGAAGTCCATGTAAGATGAAAACCATGTGATGATGTGTAACATCACTGGTGCCTAATCAATGAGGCAGTTTTCTAGGGAGTCCTGATTTAGGTTAACAACAAGCAAGAAAAGATACACATCAAATAGATATAACTTGATCTCTGCTGCACATGTTCAGGTGTTGGAATGGACTGCTGTGTGATTCCACTGAGACACGGAGGACTCTCACTGGTTCAGACCACAGACTTCTTCTATCCATTGGTAGATGATCCGTACATGATGGTGAGTGAATGACATGTGATTTCTTCCATGAGGTCCTGCTGTCTCACATATCCCGTCTTTGCCTAAGTGTGTAATTTGCTTCCTGTTTGGTGAAGGTAAAATAATAGCCTGGAGATTAGATTGAGCAGTCTCTCAGTGGTGACACATTTGATAATCATCAACAGTTTGTGACAAACAGTTATCAACGGTCATTAGAATTGTATAGTTTGTGTATTTGCATGGTACATTTGCCGTGGTCTTGTGCATACAGTCATATGCAGAGTACGTAAGTGTAGAAAAGTTCCGTGAGGTGTTATGATGTGACACTGTCTCCCTCTTTGTGATCTTCCATCTCCCAGGGTAGAATAGCGTGTGCTAACGTCCTTAGCGATCTCTATGCCATGGGCATCACAGAGTGCGACAACATGCTGATGCTGCTGAGTGTCAGCCAGAAGATGAATGAAAAGGTAGCCTTATAATTCTTTTGTTGTTGGATGCCAAGATGTTGTTATGGTTTTTCCTTATTTGATCTCCTCCCCCCTCAGGACCGAGAGCGAGTGATGCCACTCATTATTCAAGGGTTTCGTGATGCAGCAGAGGAGGGGGGGACTTCAGTGACAGGTGGGCAGACAGTGATCAACCCCTGGATCATTGTAGGAGGAGTCGCTTCAGTCGTTTGCAAACCTAATGATTTCATCATGTAAGTCAAACCTCAAACCGAGGAATACACATTCCTAATTAAGTTCTCACTGCACTGACCAGGCCAATAATACAGTGATACCTTAAAGCTGCAACAAGTTGTTTGGAAATGTTTTCACATGCTTTTATTTTGCCATTCCTTTCTATAAACTAGAATATATTTGTATTTATCAGGGCTGCCAAAATTAATTAGTTTATCGGGTTAATTCATTTGTTTGAATTATTGAAATGTTTTTGTCCTTCTGTTCTTTGTTTGTTAGTCATATTTAGCGACGTTGTTCTATCTAGATTAATCATTATTAATTATGAACAGCTGTCCTAATTAGAGTAAAAGTCATTTGACAACCCTTGTATTTTTTTCTATCACTGTAGGCCTGATGGTGCTGTACCAGGTGACGTCTTGGTCCTGACCAAACCTCTGGGAACACAGGTGGCTGTAAACGCTCACCAGTGGCTCGATCAGGTCACCGCCTTTACTCTGTTCTTCAACAGATTTCTTTTTTTCCTTTGTGATATACTGACTTTTTTTTTTAATTTGTGTCTGAACAGTCTGAAAGGTGGAACAAGATAAAACTAGTTGTCACCAAAGAAGAAGTGAAAGAGGCCTATCAGGAAGCCATGTTTTCAATGGCAACATTAAACCGCACAGGTATGCAGCAAATCCAAATCTATGTGTTGGTCCTTCGATTATCAGGTTCATTATCAGATTGGTTGTCTTTTCCACTGTGAATCAAATAATATATTTCACTAGTTGTGGACCACATGACTGAGTCAACGCCATCACTAAATTGTTTGATTCGGTTTTAATTACAGAAATGACCTATAGTCTGAATTTTATTTGTGTCTCCAGCTGCAGGCCTAATGCACAAGTTCCAGGCTCACGCTGCGACAGACGTGACTGGTTTCGGGCTGTTGGGACACGCTAACAACTTGGCAGCACAGCAACAAAACGAGGTGGCCTTTGTCATTCACAACCTTCCAATCATAGCCAAGATGGCTGCCATCAGTAAAGCCTGCGGTAACATCTTCAACCTGGTTCAGGGCACGTCTGCAGAAACGTCTGGTATGGTGGAGTAGATTCACACACGATTGATGTGGTGTCGATGTCTGTGAATGTAAATATTTAAATTCTGTGGCGGTTCGGTGATGAATAACTCCTAATCCTACCTCATTCTTTCAGGTGGGCTGTTGGTGTGTCTTCCCAGAGAGCAGGCAGCCAGGTTCTGTGCAGAGATGAAGAACCATAGCTCTGGGCCTGGGGGTCCTGGCCCAGCCGGTGGTGCCTGGATCATTGGAATCGTAGAGAAAGGCGACCGTCGTGCTCGCATCATCGACAAGCCCCGCATTATTGAAGTTCCTCCACGAGGAAGCCAGGCAGCCAATCAGGACAGCATTTCCAGCAGTCCTGCTCCGAGCCCTAATCTGTCATAGACACTATCACCATAACATGTAAACACTATAATAATCAGCTGTTCTCACCTGGCTTTAACCTGGGTCCTGAATGCACCATGTGACTATCTGCAATTTACTATGACTTCAAATATTATTTAAACTTAAGACCTGGTTGTATATGGGAACAAAGTTTGATTTTATGGGTGCCATAATGGTGTGTCTTAAACACGCGCACACCTGTCATTTACAAAGACGGGTAGAAGAAGATAATTTAGTCCATTAAAAAGAAAAAGGTTTGTGACAATCATTGAAAATGTTGTATATAATGGTGACATAAATTGGTCTATATTTAGGCACCGTCATTGTATGACAAACTGAAAAATTGACCCTCACTATTTTCTGATCATATCTAAATTTGGCTTGTGTCTCACTTTACATGTTGTCTTTTTCTGCCCTTTATAAACACTGATGGGTTTTTTTTATAATTTACCTGAATGGTGAAAAACATTCTGTTACAGTTGCTAAATTCAATAATTCAAAAAAATTCAATCAGTGCATATGTGTTTCTGAGTAATTTTATCAAATTTGGATTTTTCTGCTGAGATTGAAATTGAGCAAATGGTATTTTGTCTGTTTTTGGGGAAGTGGGGGATGGTAATATATATCATGATGGTGAATTCATCATTATGCAGAGAAGAAGAATGAGAAAATCATTGGTCCTCTGGCATCTGGCTCTGTCTGTGCAACCCTGAGGAAGGCTTGAGCAGCTTCCTCAGGAGCAGCTTGGTGGGGCTTAGAATGTCCATCTGTGTCAGCTGGTTGGACGTCCAGTGACAGGTCCTTCCCTTTTTCCATGTTTATGAAGCTCTATCTTTTAAACCCTGGTCAGTGGGGACAGGTGGAGTGGATGCATTTCTTTGGATCAGGGTTGGACAAAGCTGGAGGTTTGAAGCTGCATTTGTAGATTTTCCTTTTAACAATCAATAAAATTTCTCAACCTGAAAACTGGCACATTGTTTTGAGTTTATTCAGAAAAAAGGCAGTTTATTTAGAAATCTAAAAAAGGTTATCTTTCACTATTTAAGAGGTTTAAAGTTAATCAATTTATTATGGTTTTATTTACAGAACAGGAAACAGCTGCCAACACCTAATGCGAGTTGCAATTTTTTGTTATTTTGGTTTGAAATGAAATTAAAGTCCACATGGCTCTATTATGTTGAAATCAAAATTTTGATAATAGATAACACATTTAAAGATGAATTGCATTTAAGAAATATATACAAATATAAACAGTTATATGCGTGAAATAAACTCTTAATAGCCATGTGGTAGAGTAGTACATTTATTTATTTTACTTAAAATAAAACGCGTGTGTCTTTCTAAAGACAGATATCTGCGATATTTATTCAATTTCTCATTTTTGCAGTAACATTCAGTAGCAGTATGTTATTCCCAAATTTGTCCGTAGATGGTAGCAGACGGTAAACCCGGCAGTTGAACAGAGAAGAAGAAAAGCGGAAGTGAGTGCACAGTGTAAATAGTCCTGTCATTAGCTCAGCGGCCAGCTAAAGGTAACAATTTTAACAAATAAAAAACAAACACAGAATGGTTGTTTGAGAATTGACAGTTATCGCACATTTTAAAGACTGACACAGTGTATCTAAAGTGTACAAGTTGCGCTTGGTATTTTTTTCTTCACTGCATGTAGGAACAACTACAGCTTAAAATAATAGCTTGGCATGTCAAAGTAAAACATAGCTTCATTCGGTGTTAATACGACAGTCTTTATGTTTTCAATAATTTAAATTAGTCGCGAATATTTTCACGGTTTTCTTTCTTTTTATTTCAACTAAATAAATTATCAGATAAATAAATTCTCCTTAGGGTCTCAGTTACAGTTATGAACGTCTTATTGACGTCACTGAAGTGTGTATTGATGTTTAAAAAATGTGTAGCGTGATAAAAAAGTACAAATAGCAAATCCTGTTATACGTTAATCATCTTCTATGAGAGGTCCATGCCAGCAGACTCTGTAAGGTGTTTTGTAAAGAGAATGTAAAATATAACTGTAACTGTCTGTTATTGTTATTCAGGTTGCCTGTGGTCACCATGCCTTATCTGGGCAGTGAAGAGACTGTGAAGGAGCTGAGGAGAGCTCTGTCCAACCCCAATGTTCAGTCTGACCAGCTGCGTTACAGAAATATTGTCCTAAAAGTCATCAGGTGGGGTTAAACAACACAAGTGCTTATCACACAATGGTTTCTGCAGAAATGTTTTGTGTTAATATTTAAAAACATGCTCAGATTATGACTTTGTCTCCATCCCCCATTTGTTTATTTATTTTAAATATTGTGCTGTAATGCAGTAATCTTGTATACCACATTATTTTTTAATCTCAAGAATCAAAGGCCAAATTTTGATTTGAAAAAAACAAAACAACCTTGAAACATATTGTTTATCAATGCAGTGTTATAGCATTAAGTATGTGCAAGAAATACTACATGTATTCTTCAAAGTACTGGGGTGCAGCCTAGCAAAACCATAAGAGTAGATGAAGACTTACTTAGTTCCTAATAAACTCCTAAGCAGTCCTTCCTCTCTTTCTTGCTGCGTCTCAGGGCAATGTCACAGGGTGTGGACGTATCTAGCCTATTCAGTGAAATGGTCAAAGCCTGTGCCACAGTGGATATCGTCCAGAAGAAGCTGGTCTATGTCTTCCTCTGTTCCTACGCCACTGTAAACCCAGAGCTGTCACTGCTCGTCATCAACACACTGAGGAAAGACTGTCAGGATCCAAACCCCATGGTCCGGAGCCTGGCCCTAAGGAACATGACCAACCTCAGGTGAAGTACTTTCCCATCATCGACCTCATCACCATGGCTGGTTAAACCTCAATGTTGTGACTCTCCCACCTCAGGTTACCCAGTCTGGTGGAGTATGTGGAGCAGCCTTTGATGACAGGACTGAGGGACAGAGCTGCATGTGTGCGACGAGTGGCTGTGCTGGGTTGGGCCAAACTATACAATCTGCAAACCCGCTCTGAGATAGGTAGAGAAGATGGATGAAAGGCTTTATCTGTTTTGTTTTTTTGTTACAAATTTAAGACCTCTACTGTAGCTGTTCATTTTTCTTAAACTTCATTTTACCACATCATTAAAACAAGCTGTAGCTGTTCATTTTTTTTAACTTCATTTTACCACATCATTAAAACAGAATTTTGTTGGATGTTCCAGATGCGTCAGTTGTGAACGAGCTTTACAACCTGCTCCGGGACCCAGACCCAGTGGTGATGGTAAATTGTCTACGAGCGCTGGAGGAGATCCTGAAGGAGGAGGGAGGAGTTGCTATTAACAAGCCCATAACTCACCACCTCCTCAACAGGTTCTTCCCCTCTGTATTTGTACATGTGTATTTACATTAGGACTGCACGCTAATGTTTAGGTGTAAACTACTCAGTGTACTTATTCACAAAATTAAAAAAAAAAATTTAATGTCAGAAAAAAGGAATGTTATGCAATATTTGCTAGAAACAAAGAGCAAAAGTAGAAATGTGTGTGTTCAGGCTGAAAGAATGTGACATATGGGGTCAGTGTGAGGTGCTGAGAATCCTTCAGCGTCACCGTCCTCAGTCAGAGGACGAACTGTTCGACATCCTGTCCCTGCTGGACGTTTCTTTGGTCAGTCCTCACCCTCCAGTCATGGCAGCCACCCTCAGTTTATTCCTGGGCCTTTCCTCTGGTTTACCTGCTGTCAGTAAGGCTGCCATCGAGCGGGTACGAGGCCCCCTGCTGGCCATATGTGGCAGTGCATCCAGAGAGATGAGGTTTGCCGCCATCTGCCACATACAGGTTAGTGATGTTTATCCAAATACAAGGATACAGATGTACATAAAAAAACACTGAAATATGGCTCTGTGGCAATTTGGGTAATTCAATTATGTGTGGGGTTCTGTTTTTGGGTGAAAAACAATTTACTCTGATTGCACTGAGATCACCTTTTTTTTCCTCTTAGTTGCTCTTGTGTTCCATCCCTGGGCTGATGGGGGCGCACTATAAGCGTTTTTTCTGTGGTTACGCAGAGCCGTCATACATCAAACAAAGAAAAATGAAGGTAACTGAATGGTTGACAAGTGTCAGGTTTCATCAATCAACAGAGTTGTAGGTGATGACTCACCTTTTTTACTTCTACAACCTGTTTTAACAAAAAACACTACACAACTACACACTGTGTAGAATGAAATTTGAACTATTTTAAAATGGAATTCAGAGTCAAGCATGATTTTCCTCTTTGCATTCTGACCTAATATGTGTTCAAATATATATGTAATGTCTGTAAGTATATTTGCATATATTGCACGTATTGAAGGAATATGGGGCATTCTAAATTCCACAAAAGCGCTTGACTTTGTATGTCTGTTTTGTCTGCAGGTGCTGGTGGAGCTGGTGAATGATGAGAATGTTGCTATGGTTCTGGATGAACTGAAAGGATACTGCACTGATGTTAACACAGATACTGCCCAGGCTGCAATCACAGCCATAGGTAAACACAGACACACACAGGACAGCTCTGTGTTAGGGGCTCTTAGTCCTCTCCTGAAATAGAAATAGAAAATTGTAAAAACAAATTGTATTTGGATATAATGGAAAAGATACAATTATTAGTAATAATAATAATGATGATAATACTACTACTACTAATAATAATAATAATAGAATAAAATCAATATTTCATTCATACCTTGGGTTTAAAAAATAAAAACTAGAGGAAATAGTAAAATATTTATATAAATAATTACAAAACAACATTGAGCAACAAAAGCATAAAAACAATAAAAGATGATATCACATGCTGACAAACTAGTAAAAGTTTGTTTTAAGGACATTTAAGTAGAGTAGGTACAATGTGTGAGGTCATCCAGTCACCATCCACGTTGCCGCAAAATCATTTAAGACAAACAACAACTAAATGAGCTTATACTTGGTATTAAAACTCATTTGTGTTGCTCTCTTGTCCTTTTTTTATTGTGGTTTTCATAATGATTTACCCATATCAGTTGCTCCAGTTTGGTGATCATACTATTATGACCAGTTACCCAAAGGTTTTTTTTTTCTTGTGTGGACTGGTTGCAGGTCGTATCGGACGGAGCTACAGTGACAAATGTCTTGAGATCCTCACCGGACTGCTAGGGCTTAAGCAGGAGCACATTATTTCAGGTAGAACTGTTCTCGAAACAGTGCGCCAGTACGTAGACGAAAGCCGCTTCTCTCACCATTATGCCCTTTGGTTTTCTTTTGAATCCCTTTCTCCTCAGCTGTGATGCAGACAATGTGTGATCTGGTCTGGGTTTGTCCACAGTGCAGTGAGACAGTGTGTGTGGCTGTGGAGGGCTGTGAGGAGATGCTGCTGGACAGTCAGGTCAGACCCAAACTATCAACTATCTATGTACATATACATGTGAAAGTGCCATGCTCAACGCACCTCAGTGGCCACTTGGCAGCTGGTAGACCTGAACCTGAAACCTTCCGGACCCAAGTCCGCTTCCTTAACCACTAAACTGCCACCGCTTCCCCAACATGTGTCTGATACCTGACAACTGATAGTTATTTTCACAACTTTTAATTGTTTTTACCATCATTATTGCAGAGAATCATGTCATGGCTGCTTTTATGACACGGGTGTGGCAAAACAAACATTTGTCTGCAGCTCAGACATGAAAGTTCCTCAAACAGATTCAATGAGGCTCTTCAATATTTCATATTTATGGTCTACTGGGCATGTCAGAGTGTGAGATACAGTTCAGTACAGCATTTGGTGTTCCCTGTTGCAGCGGATGTACTGTTAACATACCATCGCACTCACAGACACGCCTGTCAACAGTGGGGAAAAGATATGTTTGCCTTACCGGCCCCAGCGTAGAAAAGAGCCCCAAAACTGGACCTGCATAAATCCAATTGAACAATAAACAACTATGTTAATCCTGTATGTCTCTGAACTGACTGAGGAATCTGCAGTATCTGGTGAAAACCTGCCAACTCCAAACAGACCTTCCTTAACTGTATTTAGATAGCATGAAGAAGCAGAGGGCTCAACATTTTATGAAAATGAACCAAATATAAAAACTGCCAGAAACGGTCACCTTAATGTTAAATTATCACTCAATTACAAGTTAAGAGCAGTGACCCATTATTTTTGTGTGGAACTGAAAGAAAACCCCTGCTTATCTGGACTTATTTAAATAACATTTCTACTTCCTGTACACAAACTTACCATATGATACATTTTCAGCGTGATAGTAACACTGGATAACACCTTCCCTGCTGCTGGCTTTGCTTTTGCTTTGTTTTGCATTTGGTTTCCATCAGTGTGTCCCAGGTCAACTGAGGTTGCTGTAAGACATCTTCTGTGTGCACCGTTCTTCTCTGTGTATGGAAAAATGCCTGTGGCAGTTTGTGTTTTATCTAAGCTAACCCCCCAACATGTGTGTCTTGTTTTTCATCTGTTATTTTAATGTTGAAAAGTGTACTAATTTGGTTGTGTGTGTCTGCAAAAAGTAAAAAAAAGAGAAACATCTTCTCTTTTGTTTAATTACATAATAACCATCACTGCAATTTTGGATGTGGATGTGGTAAAACTGTGTTTGATTATCACAATGTTGATAACCAAATACTCCAAATGTTACATTTACTCCATCACATCCCTTACATCCATTATACAGCTCACCTCTGTGTCTACACACCACTAGCTCTCCCACCAAAAGCAACTAAATTGTTTTTTTTTCCCAGGGACACTTTACCTTGTACGTCAGCACAGCCTGGGATTGATTCCCAAATGTGTTCCAAGGCTGACTTTGACTAAAAAGGGAACCATTTTCCCTACTCACTCACTGTTGACCCTTGTTAAGAAATATACTGTTGTGCCCTTACACATGAGACTCACCTTCTATTTAAATCTTTTTTCTATCATGTGTATTTCTGTATAGTTCAGAACTTTATCCATTGTGTTAAAATGAAAAAAAAAAAACGTTACATAAAGACAACTGAGTGTTAGGTGCTTTAGGAGGTTTGTTGTGAACATTTTGACTGACTTCATCATCAGGTTTCTTTCACACAAAGACCCTTAAATAATGAGAAAATAAGCCAAATCTCTAGACCTGATTTTTTGCAACATTCGACTTTCCTTTTACCCTTTTTTAGGGCAGACAGGCTCTGCTTTGGTTGCTTGGAATGTATGGGGAGTTTGTCTCCAGCGCCCCCTACACCTTGGAGACGTTCATCGATGGAGTAAGAAGCGAGGCCTCTTTAGGAGTGAAGATGGAGCTGCTGACAGCGACCATGCGGATCTTTTTATGTCGGCCTGCCGAGACGCAGGACATGCTCGGAAGACTGCTTCATTATTGTATTGGTGAGTGTGTGTGTCTGTGTGTGCCTGTGTGTGTGTGTGTCTGTGTAATCATTTACTATAATTATTGTTGTAATTCTTTTTTTCAGAGGAGGAAACAAACATGTGCGTCCATGATCAGGCACTTCTCTACTACCGCTTGTTGCATTGTGGGATAGAAGAGACACGAAAGGTCCTCCAGGGTCGGAGGTCAGACCCTTCCTTGGGTGTTCTGATTGGTCGCCCTGCAGAGCCTATTAGCCAATGGGCAAGCAGTTTTAACACGCTAGGACCTCTTAAACAGAACAATGTAGAGATGGAGTCGACCAGCAGAAAAACTCCTGAACTTGTGACCTTTGAGCCCAAGTCTAACACTGACCTCAGGGACACGCTGACCTGTGAACCTGAGGAGAATTTTCATTCAGGTGAGTGAGAAAATGTTTATATTTCGTAAAAATCCATTAAATATTCAGTTCATTTGGACAAAGTCCTAGCAGAATACCGAGGGGATAACACCTATGATGATGGTGCAGGAGACCAGGGTTCAAATCCCTGATAAGTGTTTTCCCAGTGTGGTGATTATCACACCTGATTAAATGTGCCTTACATCCAAATGTTCCTGGGTTCGAGCCCTAGAAGAACCACATACCTAATGGCACCTCCTGTGGCAGCCTATTCTCTATTAATTTAAGGAGTATTCATAGGTGCAGCTAAGTAAGGCAAGAATTTAGGCATCATTTTAAAAATGTTACTCTTCTCACATCCTGTCCATGTCTGAAAATCTTCGTTATAAAATGCACTTTAATTTACACTGGCTCATTATTGTCAGACTTTTGTGCATATATTTCAAATGAGTGGTAGTGAAGCTCATTTGAAAGCTTTAGAGGGTAAGAAATATCGTCAGGCTCCTTTTAAATTGACCCAACTTGATCAAGTTTGTCCATGAGTTGTGTTCTTTTGGCCCACAACTGAGAAAGTTTTGGTTTTATGAGATTAGAATCCTTTTTTTTTTTTTTTGGAAATGCTGTGGCACTTTAAATCACAAATCTTTTCTCTGGCATCCTGCCCAACATCCACTTCAACCATCATCCTCACTTTCTGTCATTTCTGTTTGCCATTCGGCCCCCTGGTGATGTATCCTCATCTGACCTCTCTTCCCTCCCCCACGTCCTCTCCAGGCTCAGACAGGACGACTGAGAAGACAGACTCCTGCACCCCCGTGCTTCCGTCCAGCCCTGGACTTCCCCTGACTCTGTCACTGTCACCAGCTCTCAGCCCGGAGGAGTTTGAACATATGTGGCTGGAGCAGCAACCGCCGCAAAGCGAGCAAGGTAATTTATGGGTAATTTGTACCATTACCGGATCATACGCTACCGCTAATTGAGTTTAGGATTGTGTAGGTGGAGCCGAGCCATAAGCCTGTCTGTGGTCATGGCTCTTTTAAAACGCTGTAGTCTTGGGGCCTGAAGAATAAAACACGTGAGCCACAACTGATCAAATTGTTTAACATAAAGGTTGAACATATTGAATAGACTAAAAGCTGTCTCCGTAGATGTGTTCAAGTTCTTGTTTGAAGTTTGTTTTGAAATCAGTAAATTTCCTTTCTCTTTTTGAAGCTCTACTTCCTCATACAATCCTGTGATTTGCATACTTTACTCACGTTAGGATGATGCTTTTGTTTCTGCTAACAAACTGGGATAGGCCTTTGTGTTCTCATTATTTAGGCAAATCAACTGGAGCTCTCAGAATAAGACATTGTTGATGGTCAAAAATAAAATCCATTGTTTTTTTTTACAAAAGAAAACAGAGGATGTTAGAATAAAAGAAAGCGAGGCCACTGTGATTGTGATATTATGACGCACGTTGTATGTTCCGTCACTAACATTATCATGGACCCTTTGGGAGAAGTATAAATAACAGAGCAAACACTATGTGATTGACTTCCAGTCAGGGAGGAACTAAATCTCAGGCATCATCTGTAAACATCATCATCTAGTTGTCTCTACTCTACTGATCATGTCTGGTTCACAGGGGCAGTAGAGTCGGCAGAAAAGCCCAGACATTTGGCATCAAATGAGCATTCCCAAGATTCTAAATCCAGATTTTGTTTTGCAGCAGCAAAACTGTATCAGTATTTATATATATGTTACAGTATATTGTCCTGATGTGACCTGACCTTACTTTTCCCATCACAGTCGCAATATTTAGAACAATCCTCCTGAGAAGAATTTCACCGAAAGCCCCTTTTCTTAGACCATTTTTTTTCTGGTTTGTAAACTATTGAATTTTCTTTCAACTTTATAAGTAGCCTTAAAGGAGATCTTAGGTGATTAATTTCTGCACCTTCTCGTCAGAATGGACTCTAGTGCAGCAACTGAAAGACAACAGTGTCTCAGTTACTCTTCAAGACGTGAGATATAAACACTGCTGAGAATTACAACAGGGAGTGTTGTGACAGAAAGTGTGTTTATTCAGTATTCTCTAAACTGGTAGGGCAGCAGTTTAGATCTAACAAGTGTCAATTAACATGTATGTAAATACGTTTTAGCACTAGTGCATGACTACACCCTCAGTCCTTAATGTCAGAGTAACCTGTCTCAGGAGGAAATAGGTTTCTCAACACTCCATCTCTTACAGTTTTCTACATGTAATATCAGACGTACGTGTAGTCAGTTGTATCAAAAGTGGTCAAAGTCATAGAAACAAAACAGAAAAATACAAGTGCTGGGATTCTACAGCAACCACGCAAAGTACATGACAGTGAATTCAAAGGTCGAAGCCTAAAGACAGACATACTGTACGTCAGCCTGGCAGAAGGATAGGAATAATGTTTGTTGACATTGTCAGACACATGTTGAAATAACTGTTTTTGTTGCCATGTGTCTAGGTGATGGGATGTCGAAAGAGGAAGATTATCTGTGTCTGGAAGAATGTCTCCGATGCCCAAACATATTTGATTGTTCTCCGAAAAGTCTTCAGGCAGCAATGCAGCTGGTCAACATTCAGATGCTGGCTTTTACACCACCTAACACACTCCCCTGGAGGGTCTACCTATACACACACACTCAGCAGTCTAACTCTGTTGCCGACACACCCCACAGCAGCAGCGTCAGAGATGTGCAGCATACACTCATACTAGGAGAGCTGCAGTACAGTGGAAAGGGAAATAAGAAACATGCCATTAAGGGAAGCATCAGTGATGGAGAAGTGGTGACAAAAGATTGGGATGATGAACGAGAGGAAGAGGAAGAGAAAGTAGTAGCTTATGGACTGAGAACCGACAGAACACAGGATGAAGTTAAAGTGACCCTAAAGCAGCATCCAAAGGATGAACAAGTTCTAAAGGGATTTATCAGCATTCTGAGGACTCTACTGCACACACTCTCTTCAGAGGGAGTTTAAACATCCCATCCCATATTTGTTACTCAAAATGAATCAACTTGAATATTGAAGATTTAGGTTTAAGTGCATGGTGTATATATATATATATATATATGTGTGTGTGTGTGTATGTATGTATGTATATATATATATATGTGTGTGTGTGTGTATGTATGTATGTATATATATATATATATACATACATACATACATGCATACATACACACTCACACATATATATGTATATATCATGTACTTAAACATGGACCTCAACTAGTTCAATATTCCAGGTCAACAGGTCATCTGCTGTAGTTACAGGCAGGTTTTCATAGGGTCAAGTCAGACTTAGATGTAGGAAGCTGATTCATTATTCATCAATTCAACCTTTGCAGACCCTTAGGGACAGTAAAGAAAATATTACTAAACAAAGAACAAGGGATAAGAACACATGCCGGTGTAAGATCAAAACAGAGTAATGATTGATGCTCGGGACTGGAAGAAAAGACTGTATCTACAAACACACGTCATGTTGCGTGCACATATAATATGGGTGTGTTCGTTATACAACTGCAGAGTTTGCACGGGTCAAACAAAAAAAAGGAAAAGTGTGATGGACGAGGCCTTTGTTATCCCTTATTTCTTTATACTCCAGCTGGTTCACCATTAAATCAAGCTCATAATAAGGTGAAACAGGTGAAGTCCATTTAAAATTATAATAACTTTAAATATATAAATTAAGGAAATATATAAAAAACAAGATGTTGATACAAAATTAGAAATATGACAAAAATGTGCCTTGTTAGCAATAAAACGTTAGGAATTAGCAATTAAGACCTGAATTAGTATTTCCAAGTAAAGTGTACAGAAAGTACTGTCAGTGGTCAATGTTTTATTTCATTAAAGTCATCTGAGGCAGTCCGACAGTACCTGAAGTGATGCAGAACTGTTGGTTTTGAGGGCCCAGGTACATTTTCATATCATATGCAAAACAGTAAAAGGAGAGGTTGTGCTTTCCAGAATTAACAGTTGTAAATAAGTGAAACCTTTTAAAAGGAGCTGTTTATGTTTATAAGTGAAAATCTGCTGGGTTATTTACAATAATCTAGGCTCACAGCTTCACCGAGGACTTGAAAGAAAAGAATGCTCTGAGTTGGTTCTGAAACTCCAGACTGTAGAGAGACAAGGATCAGGATCCAGTGGGCAGGAAAATGTTTTATCAACAAAACTGCCCACACCTTTTTCTCAAGGACAAATACCACAGTGGTCACGTGATTTATGCGAGTTCACAACAATAAAACAAGACTAAGGTGTGTTGTTATCACATTAGATTTGCTCAAATCTGGTGGTTGTCCCATTTACAGCTGCGAATCAAATAAACTTTCAAAGTCTTTCAAAGTGCTACAGATACTTGAAGCCCCCCCTTTCCCCACAGCGCCTCTACAACTGCGTCTTAAAGTGCGAGTGCTGCCATTCTGCCAACTCTTCGAGAGTTTGCTTTTTAAAACGGCCATCGAATGTAGTATTTTGATCCAAGTGGCATTAAAGATGTCTGTCAAACTATCAGGATGAAAACTAAAGTAATAATTCTGGGATTATTATGATTCACATAAAGGAAATGTAGTTAAAGGGTTAACTGTGCGCATAAGACGGGCAGAAACCCATAGTTTATTTTTTATTGGAGTTTGATAGATTAATATTAAATTTAAAAAAAGATCAAGAGATGAATCACAAACATTATTGACATTTACGTTCAAGACGTAAAAGGACAGATGGACAAAAGACAGGTCCTGGACAGTATCATGTCCAGGACATGTCTTTTGTCATGTACCGGTTCGGTCGAAGACTGGCAAGGCAAGAAGAGTTATTACGTTTCAGAAAGTATTTAGCCAGAGGTTAATGTTCACAGTATTAAAGTATTAAAATCCCCAACAATGAAACATTGATTCGAGTTAACTGTGAATCATATGAAAACTAAATATAGTTCTTGTTCAACAAACCAGCGCACAAACAAACAAAAAAGTAATATAAATTGTCTTCCGTGTTTCTAACTTCTTGATGTCAGAGTAGACTTTATTTATGTATTTTGAGAAAATCCAACAAGCTGGAGAGTACTTCATAGTAGTATATGCGCCCTTCGTCCGTCCGACTGCGACGGTAGTGAGGTCACACCTGCTTTACGTATAAAGCTCCGCTCCATCCGCCCGGGTGTTTACAGAGTGTGTTCAATTTCAGAGACAGAAATAGGGGACAGGAGGCGTTCAAGCCACGGGACACCGAGCGTTCGTGGGGCCATTTTTCCTATCGTCTTCCTCGCCTTTTGCTTTTACCCCGAATACTTTTTCCCCTGCCTTGAAAGCAGAGGAGTGAACTCCACGCGAGCCGGCGAGTGACGAACTGTCAGCTGTCGCTCCTTCTATGAAGGCAGTAGGAGGTGAGTGAGCGGACGGTTTAACAGTTACTCACTTTTCTAGATGTTTCTATGAAGTCTGTGTTTAAATCCAGGTTGAAAGTTAAGCCTTAGTAATATTATCGCTTTCCTCCCAATTAAAGGTTGTGTGACCGACTCAGTGGTCTGTTATCAATAACTATGTCTTCTAGCTCTGTCGCCACATGATACAATATCTTTATACAATATTGTTATTATTATTATTGTTGCTGTTGTTGTTAGAGAAAGTGTGTTGTAGATTTTAATACCCAGTAACAAAGCGATAAATCATTTTAATAGAACTTTTCTTAGGGAAACCCCCCTTTTTTGTGATGTTAGTAAAAGTAGTTCAATATAAAATAGATCATTTTCACATCCTCTTGTGAAGAAACCACATGTGTGACTGGCTATATTAAATAATTCACTGCTCTCCACACATGGTTTATTTTCCTGATTGAGAATCTTGACAAGTATTGTTTTGCGGCTCAGCCTGCAATTAGTCTAACCTTTCAGCCGAAGATCCTAACTGTGTGTCAGACAACAGTGATGGTGCTTAGTTGTTTATAACCTGGCTCCAGTCAGATTAGGACGTTACCACCAAGGGCTCCAGCACCACCACTATCATTTTACAGTTTTCTAACAGTGTGTATTTACATCTAGGTTCTGTTCAGTTTTTTTCCCCTCGTCTTAAGTAAACTGAAGTTGTTTAACACCACAATATTTATTTTCTAAAAAGAACATGTTTTTGTAAAGTTAAAGATGTTATTATTTCTATAATAAAAAGTTGTTTTTTTGTTTTGTTTTTTTTAGCCCAGTGATGGCCAGCTTTTACTGAGAATAATTCTTTGTTTCTTCAACTTCTACATAATAGTCCAACGATACTTCCTGAGGAGGTCAACATACATTGTAGGTAACTTTGAACAGATGCCCACTATAAAGAGAAAGCTTGTGTGTTTGGCAGGTTTGATTACAGTGTAAGCGTTTTTATTTTCAGTTCTGGTCTCCAAAAAGGCAACGAGAAGCAACTCTCACACCACTACGGCTGTCTCACAATTTCAATTCATTTCAACTTTTGCTTTTATTTTTATTTTTTTCCAACTTCCATTTAGAGGACACTATTATTCAGAATCACTTATAAGATCTGAATTATGTCTGCATATTTCACAATCATAATATCTGTAAAAGGATTTTGGAATAAGTTTGGAATAAGTTTCCTGGCCTTGTCACCAAATCCACTGTTCTCTGTATTAGGTGTGTTTGCCTAAACACACCTAAGGACTAAAAAGATTAACTGTGAAAGTAAATAGTACTAACCAGCCAGAAACAATATGTGACAAGTCAGGCTTTAGCCGTTCTGCCGTTGATGCCAGATACTGTAACGGGACAAACCAGACCCAAACAGGACACTCTAAAAGATGACTGTTCTTATCCCGCCTCCGTCCAAGCATGGCCCAGAAATGAAAGTTGTGCATCATATTTCTGAAATGTAACTAAGTAGTAAGTAATTATTAGTAAAGTAACGTATTACTTCAGAAAATAATTCATCATTAAAGTAACCGGATACATTTGTTCAGGAATAATTTAACAAATTAAAATGGATATTTTTAGTAGGAAAACTATTTTTTTGCCAGCATCTATTTGTTAGTTACTCCCAGTTTTTTGACTAGGCAAGAATTGTTGACACTTGATAGGACAAGAATAGAACAGTTTAAAAAAGGAACTTGTTCATCTAAATTTATCTACAACTGTGTGGGACACTACAGTGGGGGATAGTGCAAAGCAAGTCAGTGAACACAGTCTGTCAACCCTGTTACCTGGCCGTTGAAACATTCATTAACCATTTACTGAATTATTTACTCTTCAGTGGACCAAGCTGCACACCTGTGTAAAGAACAGTATCTCTGCGTCTCTGTGTCTTTTGTGTGTGTTTATGGGTGTGTGTGTGTGTGTGTAAATGGACATGTAGAAGGAAATGCGCCTTTGTCTAAGGAAGAAGAAGAATGCTGTCCTGGCTGCGATCCTTCTTGCCAGTGGACTGCTTGTCATTCGACAGTCTAACTTCTTCCCACATGTAAGTACGGTACACAATATTAAAGATTCTATTCATGGAAATACATGTGTTTACAGCTGATGTTGCTTAGCATTAGTATATGTTTCCTCATTTTTTATACATATATAAACAATTCAGTTCACAAACACACTACCAGTCAAACGTTTTAGAACACCACACTATTTCCAGTTTTTTACTGAAAATAATTCAGTTTATTGTGTCATTGACCAAAATGTATTTTAACCTTTAGAATAGCCACCTTTGGCAGATATAACAGCTGAACACACCCGTGCCATTCTTTCTATAGAATAGAAATCAAATATTCTTCAGAAAGTTCTTCCCAAGTCTGTCGCAGAAGTTCCCATAAATGTGTGGCCCTTGTAGGTTGCTTGGCTTTTACTCTTCTGTCCAGTTCATCCCAAACCAGCTCCATGGGGTTTAACTCTGGAGACTGTGCTGGCCACTCCATGTTTTCAAGCTTACCATTTTGTTTGGTGGCCCAGGAGAGCCTCTTTGTCTTATTCTACTTAGCAAGTATTACTTAGCAATGGCTTTGTTGCTGCAACTGGTCCTGTCAAACCTGCAACTCCAAGTCTTCTCTTCACAGTTGAAACTGAGACTTGCTTATTACGACCACTATTAAGCTGTTCTTGAAGCTGTTGTCCTGTGAGCAAGCTGTTAACTCCCAGAAACTTGTCCTCTGATTCAGTTGTGGCTTTGGGTCTTGTAGACTGCTTCCTGTCAGAGTTTCCTCCAGTTTCTGAGTGCCTTTTGATGGTGAAGAAGTGTACTCACTGACACCTTGACTTTCTTTGCAATGTCCCTGTAGGAAAGAGCTACATTTTTAAGTGTTATGAGGGTCTGTCTCTCTACCATTGTTAATTGCCTTTTTGTTGTCATTTTTGTAGCAACACACTACTTTCTGCAGTACAATACTGTTCACCTGATGCTCATGAGGGTCTGGTACCACAGTGTGTTCCAACACTGCTTTTATGCAGGCGGGGGGGAGATTTATTGTCCATGTTACTGAAGAACTGATATTAAGGTTAGTGATACCTCAGTGTGTATTGTTATGTTTATAGGACGTGCCAAACTCTGATGAAGTCATTACAAATGACTTGTCCTGGGAAACAGACAGACTGGTTAAAAAGGATTCCTGGGTGGAACAGGGAGGTTACCTGCCTCTCAATGTCTCATATAGGCTGTTGGCCGGAGCACCGTCTCCACAACAGAGTGAGTGATATATATTTTTTTTTCTCGTTGTATCGTACACGCAGTGTTGTGTGCAACAATCTCCAATACCCACATTACATTACAGCTGCGCATACACCCAGAAGCTTATGTCCTTCATCCTGTTTTTCTGTTTAGGTTTAACCCAGTCATTGACACTATCACTGATGTTTTCATACGTTTAAGATTATACTGTAACAACCTGCACCTCTATAATCCCTCATTCAGAGAAAACAAGGCCATACTGTGGAACCAGTGGAGTGACTCCAGCACACGTAGCACTCCTTTAGTGACACATTTTACACACATATTCACATGATGATGTTCATATTCAACCTGGACAATCATAGATGAAGGTCTGGTTAAAAAAAAACCCATCAAATAATGAATAAGACGCTGCATCGATTGGTCAGAGCTAGTTTCTTTTGTATTCACTATTTCTGGTATTAATCATAAGCCATTGATCATTATCAAACAAGTAATTAACAGATCTAGTGGGACCTCAGAGAAAAACATCTAGGATTTAGCACCACTCAAGGTTTTCTCATGTACTGCGCCCTTTTTGTGGCAGTATTTCAACCGTCCTGCCCAGAAACCCGGCTCAGAAACTGACAGGTAGTAGGAAATAATTACTTTGTTTCATTAGCTGTTACAGTAAATAGTGAGTAAATAAAGAATGCAGTAGAACACAGGTAGGTGTAAGAATGAGATTTGATCCTACTTTTCTACAGGGTTCAATTAATTTATATTTATAACGTATTTAATGAACAAAATGACTTGAGATAAAGAAAATATTCAACAAATAGCACCAGAAACTCATGTACTAAGCACAAACCTACTAATGCTACTAATGAAGATCACTGCTTTGCCTTCGAAAGTAATTTTAACACCAATTTCTTTGTACATATACAATTCTGTTCCAGGGTTTTTGTGCATTGGATTGTCGTCAGTAAAAAGGCAACGGGGCAGCTATTTAGTTACCACCCTGCAGTCTCTCTTCTCCCAGTCGTCTCCTGCCGAGCGCTCGTCCATGGTGGTGGTGGTGCTGCTGGCAGATTTCGACGTTGACTGGAGAGTCGCCACAGTGAAGGAAATCCAAACTACATTTCCTTCAGAGTTGGAGCAAGGTCAGCTCCTGGTGCTCCATGTAACTAAGGAGTGGTATCCAAACACTACAGGTACTCAGTTGTGCTCCCTTTCCTTTCTTGCCACTGTGACTCTTTTAACATCAGGAACGATACATTATGTAACTGTTGGTGCTGACAAAGTGTCTGTTGTTGTGTCACAGATTTGAAGAGGAACTACAACGACGAACCAGACAGGGTGACATTTCGATCTAAGCAGAATGTTGATTATTCTTTCCTCATCCACTACAGCACCAGTCTAGGACAGTACTACCTCCAGCTGGAGGACGACGTGTTGGCGTCCAAAAACTTTCTTACTGCCATTAAGAAGCATATTGTAGAACAGGATGCAAAGAAGGAGACGTGGGCAATGCTGGAGTTCTCAGTCTTGGGCTACATTGGGAAGCTCTACAAATCAGAGCACCTTCCTCTTCTGGCCCGCTTCCTTTTCCTCTTCTACCAAGAAATGCCCTGCGACTGGTTGATGTCTCACTTTAGAGAGCTGCTCACGCAAAAACAGCCCATCGTCTTCAAACCTTCGCTGTTTCAACACATGGGCACATTTTCCTCATTCAGAGGGCTTTACAACAAGCTTAAGGACAAGTACTTTGACGAGTATTTGTACACCAACCCTGAAGCAGAGGTTTTCTCAGACATGTCCATCTACCAAAAATACCTACCCCAAAATGCATGGGATCCAGGGGAGGATTTTTTCTGGGGGCGCGCCCCTGAAGAAGGAAATTACCTCACAGTGGTTTTCACTGAGCCAACTGTGATCTCAGGAATATTAGTAGAAACGGGGTCGGATGGAAAAGACCTCCTGGAGTCAGGTGAGGTGCAGCTAGGCCACAGTGTAGCTGACACTGGGAAAGATGAGAAGAGTTGTCAAGAGTTCCAGTCAGTGGGAACTTTTACCAAGGGGAGGTTTGCGATAACTGAGTTAGATAAAAACTATAGCTCTGCCTCCTCCTGTCTGAGGATACTGGTCACAGCCAAACAGAGCAATTGGGTAGTCATTCGGAAAATCCGGATTACAACAGAGCCGAGTGCGACTCCGGCAGGAATAAAGGAGTGACATTGTGTTCCTTAGCAGCTTAGGCCCAGACAAATTGTTTTTCTTTTTATTCATGTGTTTTATTTTGTTTGTTTTTTTAATCAATGGAGGTGAAACCAGACATTCTTTGTCTGAGTACAAACCAAAGATGTGTTTTTTTAATTCTTTATTGTTAACAGTCATGAAGGAGCAGAACAACCAGCAGACGTTCATTAGTTAAAGCTGGAAATTAGTTTCACTTCGTTTGTTAGTTTGATTGATTTGTGGAACATAAATCACCACTCAAACCAAATAATGAAAGATCGACACAATGAGTCATCAATACTATCAGTATGTGATGATTCTTTCAACATGCAGTAGTTTTTCTGAATGTGTGACGTTGGTGCCTTTTGAACAGTTAAACTGACAAAACAGGAAGTTGTTGCTAAATCCCAAAGCTGTAAAGCGTCCGGTCTTATTGAGGAAATGTTTAACAGATTTTAATGTCTTTGCAAAACCGATAAGCCCTGGTTGTGTTGTGAACTGTCATGCACAGAGGATGTCAGTCATGACAGGGACAATCTGTGTTGAATACATCGATGGCAGCTAGGAATGTCAGACAATGCGGTCAGTCAGAAAAAGCAGAAATATCTCACATATTTCTGCTTTTGCCTTTTCTAATGACTTATAAAGTCTGCCAGCTCATTCAACAAGGTGCTTAGCAGTAACAATGTGGCCGGACCAGTAAAAGACCTGAACTGGTTTGTGTTACAGTCAAGGAAACAAATACATTTTCTTCAGCTCAGAATATCACTAACTACAAACCTATTGACGACGCACATTTGACAGGTTTCCACAGTGCCTCTTAAATTGCTATTCATTGTTTGCAGTTGCTATTAAAGTTATATATTTTTATTAATAAAACTAGAATGAGCTTGCCCTTATTCATACACAAAAACACTGATCTCTCTGAGTACCACCATGATGACCAACATTAGAATACAGCAGCATAGGCCTTCACTGTTAGCTTCCACCACAGGAGAGATGTTTAGAAATGTTTAGAAAGATGTTTATGTTCAAATGTTGTATTAATTGTACATGGTATGTTTCAGATTTATTCAACTGAATATGTAAATGTGAAAATGTGATTTTTTTCCCACGTACCACTAGAGAGCACTCACGTACCACTGGTGGTATGCGTACCACAGTTTAAGAACCACTGCACTACAGGAAGAGGAGGGAGTATATGTTAGATGTATTTGAGAATATTTTGAGAGTTTGATGTATGTGCAAAACGAAAACGGATTATAGAAGAAGCTACTGACAAATATACTGACAAATGAGATTGATTTCTCAGTTATTGTTTTAATTCCACTGTGTCTCAGCTCTTTACTTTGAGGATGATTCTGCTTCACAGCGGGCTCTCTCTGACATTTTACTCCCTGCTCTTCCTGTAACAGTTCTGGGGCCTCTATCAGTCCTGTCTCCAGCTGCTTGCTTCTCTTCAGCTAATGAATGCTGACCTGTGGGCCTCTTTTTTGTTTTTCTTCGGTGGATGAAGTAACAGCCCCGACTACGGTATCTTCCTGATTGTGGTCACCTCCGCTGACGGGGTGGTTCTGAGATATGAGATGAGCTCCAGTAGAGGTGGATGGAACATTAGAGTCCTGTACTTCCGCAGTGATCTGAAAGGAGAAGGAGCAGATATGATGGTCAACTTTAACAAGTTGCAATAAGTAAAAAGGAGCTTTGCAGTTTCTAATAACACTGTGTCAAGTTTTTAATATATTTATTTCTTATTTAAATAAAGGTATATGGAGAATGTGCACATACATTTTTGTATGTCACATTGGTTGTATGTTGTATTGGTGTTTTTCTTAAAGTAAAGAATCACTGTTTTAGGTGAAATCTGCCTAACTTTACTTATGATTAAACTTTAATTCCACCATGATGATCAGTTGGACTTTTCAGAGTCCTGCTGTGTACAAATAGTGTACCTGAGCTGTAAAAAATACACCTTGTGAAATTATGAGGAAAGAGTAAAGTATAGCTGGAGATTATAGTGAAGCTTCAGTGAAACACAGACATGCTCGTCATCTTTCAGCCTTTGTGAGTTTCTGCTGATGCCGAGTGGTTGACGCCCTTCAGGTTGCTGAGGGTCAAAGCCCCAGGACCTGAGCCGGTGAAGACCCTCTGCAGAGCGGGCCGTAGGGTTGATGTGCCGAGCAGGAATACGAGCAGGAAGGTCCCATACATACATTAAGTCTGGCCATGCACTGCCACGCTGAGAAAAACCCACACAAACACAAAAAAGGTCAAAGAAAACAACCTTTTTAATAGTGGCTCAGTTTTAGAATTTTAAATTCTAAATGTTTTTGCTAATGATTTTCTTTGGCTTTATTAAAAGCTTATAAGCCCCAAAATCCAAATTTTTAACTAATTTGTTGCTTGATCTGTTCATTTATTTCTTGTATTATGGCTTTTCAACTTATTTCAGGGGTAACTTTACTTCTGTTCAAATTTCTTTACTGTTCAAATGTCCTCTGGAATAAATTGTTTACGCACACCTAAAATCGTTCTTAGATCATGGTATTTTGGTGGTGTTCCAGTCATGTTTTATGACCCACGTGTCAAACTCAGAACCGGGGGCCAAATCTTTCCCATGGTGTAATTATATTAGGCCCGTGAGATCATGTCAAATGTGTACTTGAGTTGGGCCGCCAGTTTATAGCCCCTGTGTACCGTCAGAATTTGTAGTTTTAACGGTGTATGCGCTATGTTATAGCACATACATTTTGTTCTTTTTTTTTTTTTTTTTGTTGGCCTGTGAAAAAAAGATTTCCATTTAAAAAGAACTCGAAAGGCTGCAGATAAAGAGACATGATAAGAAACAAATACCACTGATGTGTGTGTTATTTCAATTTTAGTTTCTCATGTGTTTATATTATTAATCTTTGGTTGTTCCAGATTCAATGTTTACGCAGAACTTAAGTTTGTTTCCACCTGAAAAATTTCTGGAGAGAAGGGAAAAAGTGCACACTTGTTGTCATTTTTTTTAATAAATATTAAGTTTGGCCCACAACTTCGTCCCCTGATTTGTGAGATAATGTGTTATTCAGAAACTCTAAACAAATAAAAGAAAACATTATCAGGTAATTTCCTCACCTTGACCAGACCTGGGAGCAGATGTCCTCTGTCATTGGCAATAAAAGTGCTGTTACCATCTGTTAAAGTGGTTTTCTACATGCACAAAGTAAAGTTGTTGTTGTTATTTCAATTATTATTATTATTATCATTGTCATTATTATTATTATCGTACCTTTTTAAAGCTCTTGGTGTCACCCCAGTTCTGGAGCCTCTGTGACCTGAAGGCGCTCTCATACTGAGGAAAGACAGTGACGTCACGTTATGTATACAATATAAATCCCAAAGTTCCCCCCACCTCTATAATTTTAAAGATCGATTAAGAATTTTTTTTTTTTACCTGATTGGCTGAGTAGCTCGACGACATTGTCGAATGTGTGACCGCAGCTACGTTGCTGTTACTGTTTACTCGTTGCCTGGCAACGCCAAAGGACTACGCAAACGTGACGATAAGGTTCATTAACAAGTATGAAAAATAAAACAACCATTTAATTATGTTTAAAAAAGATGAATCGTTGTGTTAAACGTGTTTAATAATACGATTCTCCGGATGTGGTTATTTTTTACTTCTTACAGAGTAAGAAGTAAAAAATGCTTAACTACTTTTCAAGTCCTAGACCACATTTAAAAAGAGAATATTACGTCACATTAGTGATGAATTACTATTTGTCTTGTTTATGAGCGATGACTTTTATTTTGGAGTTATTGACCGGAAAAGAAACTATTTATCTTCCGGGTAGCGACTCGTAATTTGCTGCTTACGACAGGATGAGCCACGCGTGCTAGTTGTCACGCCTTTCCGTATTTCTAGAGCGTAGATAAAAAGTTTTGTATTGCAGTTTTACAACATTATATGTGTTTGAACCAGGGCTACGTGTGTAGCTGCCTCGGGAGCCATGGAGGCCCCGTCCTCTCACCTCTCCGCCCGGGGTGCACCGCGGTGGCTGCTGTCCGGCAGGAGAAGCTCCTCGAGCGCAGGGACAGAATGTGACACTGGGCGAGACATGAAAACCCATTTTCGTGTCTGTCGCTTCATAATGGAGATAGGTAACACATACTACACCACGATAAATGAATATTGCTGTAAATGGGTGCAAATCTGTAGGTTCTTAGTTTATTTCTTTAGTTTCTTATGAAATAATGTTACCTGTAATTATTTACATTTAAAACGACAAAGCAAGCCTGGTTGTACGTTTTTTATAAAAGTGACTATGTTATGCAGTCAAAACTGATCTCGATACCGATTACTGGGCTTAAATCCTCCTAAAACAATGCAAAGAAATCTACTCTGTTTTCTCCAACCCAGGTGTGAAGCTGGGGATGCGTTCAGTGCCTGTGGCCACAGCCTGTGTTCTGTATCATCGTTTCTTCGAACGAGTCAACTTGGCCGAGTACGAACCGTACCTGGTGGCCATGAGCTGTGTGTACCTAGCAGGCAAAGTGGAGGAGCAGCACATTAGGACCCGTGACATCATCAACGTGAGCCACAGGTAATATTCAGGATACAAGGACTTTATTGGTCACATACACGTAGGTAAGGGGACACTGACAGTCCCCCGTGTTTGTCCCAAACATTCAGGAGAGGAGAGGAAGAGATTAAGTGATATACTGTACACTAGGGTCTAGTGCAGATCTGGGCAAACTACGGTCCGTGGGCCAGACGAGGCCTGCTGGGCTTTCTAATCCAGCCCACTGAACACTGGTATGGTATAGCCCAGGGCTGTCAAACTCATTTTGGTTCAGGGGCCACATACAGCCTAATTAGATATCAAGTGGGCTGGACCAGTACAATCATAACATAATTCACTATAAATAACAATAAGTCCATGTTTTTTACCCTTAGTTTCCATGGGAAGAAAATATTTCACAAAACACATTGTGTTTGTGCATTATTTACTTTTATAATTCATCAAGCAGATTTGGCCCCCGGGCCTTATGTTTGACACCTCTATAGACTGATGTAAGTGCTTGTTAAATGCATTGCAGTGATTTAACTGTAATTTCTCTTCATGTTGTGGCGACAGACATCAAATGTGCCAAATTATATGTAAAATTTAGGTTTATTTAGTGAACTGGCCCACCAATCAAATTTTGAACCTTATTTTGGCCTCCGGGCCAAAGGTTTGTCCACCCCTGGTCTAGTTAATAGCACACCATCTGAGAAGTAGAGCAGAGTCTAATGATTGGACTGTTCTTTTATGGCTCCTCAAGAATGAGCCTTTACTCATAAACCTGTTTGGTTACAGTAGGCAGACATTGTTCACTCAGTTCAACAGTTATGCTAGTATTGTTGTCATGCTCCCTTCGTTTTCTTCGTTGTAGGTACTTTAACAGCGGCGGTGCTCCTCTAGAATGTGATAAGGAATTCTGGGACTTGAGGGACAGCGTGGTACAGTGTGAGATTCTCATTCTACGACAGCTCAGCTTCCAAGTCTCCTTCGAACATCCTCACAAGGTAAATCTTTGAGCACCTGAACATGAACATGACACGAAAAATTTAAATTCTGTGGCTACCCAAATGCAAAATTATACTCTACAGCAGACAGTTTGACTTCCTCATTTTTGTTTACTTCCTGTCACTGTGCTGCTAATATATATATTTAAAAAAACAGCACTGGGATGTTTAGCTTGTGTACTGTGTATAAATCAAGTTTCCCTCTTCTCTTCAGTATTTGCTGCACTACATGTTGTCTGCCAAGTCACTGGTGAACCGCCATGCCTGGTCTCGAACCCCTGTCACTGAGACGTCCTGGGCCTTGCTTAGAGACTGTTACCACGGATCCATGTGCATCCGCCACTCGGCACAACACATCGCCATAGCAATGCTGTACCTGGCTTTAAACAGCTACGGAGTGGAGCTTCCTGTCGGGGAGAAACCGTGGTGGCAGGTTGGTGTGGTTTGTCGTTCTTGCAGTAATTCCTTAGTCTGCACTAAACCACTGATAGTTTAAAACTGCAGTAAACTAAAGTGAAGAGGTTGGTTGTTGTTGTCTAAAGCTCATGTTAGCTGCTCGTCCACTTGTGGCAAGATTGGTTAATATAAAATCACTAAAGCTAATAAATAAAGACTTCAGACACTCATTAAAACTTTAGATTTACCAGTGATGGACACAGTAAACTGTTTATTTATATTTCTTTTATAGCAAATGAAAAATGCCATTTTTTAAAAAAACAGTTAAAGCAAATATTGCGTTTTTAATATTTTCAGATTTTATACATTTTTTAATTTTTATATGTGTAATGGTAATAGGTCTGATTTATTTCTTTCATTTTACAACCCGGTTTAAAATATATTTTTCTGTCTCTATAAATTCCCTCTTAAATGCCATTGTTGTCCACCCTGTATTCAGTGAAAGTACAAGTGCATCTGAGATTAACATCAGCTCTTAAAGTCATGTTCACTGTGTGACAGTTGGAAAGTATTTGACACCACGTGAACAGGGAACCTGTTTTGAACAGACGTGCACCTAAAATGATGTGACATCTCCACCTGCCCGTCCAGCTCCAATTTGACCGTGAATCACCACTGTCTCCTGTCTGTCTTGTTCGCCGGTTGTTAGTTGTGCTGTTATCAGAGACCCAGTAGACTTTACACTGTCACAGACATTCCAAATCTACTGTTAAATCTGTCAAGTGCCACAGTGACACACAGTGAATCCACCGTTACTACATTCCGGGCATTAAAACCAAGGTCATTTGATGTGATGTTCTGTGTGGACACAGGTGCAACCATAGTCTGTCTTTGTGTGTATTTGTGCGTAGGTGCTGTGTGATGATGTGACCAAAGAGGACATTGATGCAGTGATCACTGAGCTGCTTCAGCTGTATGACATGGAGGCTAAGTGTATCTGAAGGATTAGAGAGTTACTCTGGAGACACATTACAGTGTCACTATTAAAACTGACACTGAAGGATTTGGTGTTTTAACCCGTCTGAACTTGGAAGGGAACTTTTTGAGGGTGAAGTCTGTAGACTGAATATAAAGGAAGAACCTAAACAGACCACAGCTTCATTTTCATTCATTCATCTTCCACGGGTCAATCCTTCTCTGGGATGCGGGACAACCTGAAGCTCAGATCACAGACACATGAAAGGACTGTGCCCAGCATGTTTTTGAAAACCCAAATATCTTGGAAAAAAACAACACACATGAACAACATATGCACCAGGGACCCAGGGGTCCACCAGTGAACTTGCTGAAAGGTGGAAGGAAAGAAAAGTGAACTCCTTTTACTTAGCGCCCGGGGAGCAGTGTGTGGGGACGGTGCCATGCTCAGAGCACCTCAGTGGTAACTTGGCAGCTGGTGGACTCAAACCTGGACCCAACTCTGCTTCCTTAACCACAAATCCACCACTGCCTGTAAAAGTAGTAATGTAAGTAATAATGAGGAAATATGCTGTTCTATTGTTATCACAACAATACAGACACACGTGTGTTTGTGTGTGTAATCACGGCATGTAATTAGTAGTTTCTGTTGGCACACATCATTATGTGCGCAGTAGACCCACATGGCTCTTGTCAATCAATTCTATAACAAAAAACATGTGCAGTAGTTTTTTATGCCACATGAGGGAGACATTTTTCCTCTGTCGACTAATCTCATGAATCTTATTCTTAGCAGAAAAGAGCATCCTTGTTCAGAACCATCAATTAAAACATATCACTGTATGGATGAATAGAGTAGGAGGTCTAAATATTTTACACATTTGATATCAATAAAAGATAGTAAACAAAAGTTAAGGATTCATGTCATAAATTTTAAGGTTTTTACTTTTTTTTGGTGTAATCTTCGGCACCTCACCTGAGAAAATCTGACTGAAGACGTATCGCTTCATTATGACCAAGTACTGACAACAATGCATCAATAAATGAGGCACATGCCGGAATTGAAGGCACAGTAGATTCATTATTTACCTTTTTAGAGGAATGTATTTGTAACAATATGGTCTGAATTATTGCCAATTATTTAGTGAAATCCTTTGGATTTCTGCTTCTGTTAGATGTTATTAGTGAGTAGCATGTGGTCTTTGAGATTGAAATTCTAATTATTGAATGAGTTTGCGGCATGACCATAAAGACATTAATGAGAATTAGGTGAATTTATATCCTGAGGTTTAAAATGACTGAATAAATCACCCACAGCTGACACACAATGACAGGTGAAAGGAGACGGTCAGGTGAGGTCGGTGCTGCCTGTAGCCTCAGTTTATGTGACAATAAATAAAGGACTCCAAAGACACGTTCATATTTTTATAGTGGAGTTTGTTATTTGTGGTCTATATGATGTGCTTATGATTGCGCATATTCAGTATGGGCCATATGGGAGAACCTGCCCATGATTTATGCATTGTTTTTCCGTGAAATGGGACAAGAGAGAAAATGCAGCGCAACACAACTTCAGCGCTGTTGTGCCAAGTCATGTAGAAATATGCAGGAGAAAATAATGTGCTGTCAGACAGACAGGGTATTAAAGCGTTTCTGCCCTTACAGTGGCAACTGTAAGTCACATAACAGTGTCCCTCTGGACGCCGTTAAAAGCCAATACCGGTGTCCTTTGGAGCTTGTCTCTCATCCCTTGAATTCACTTCAAACCAAGGCATCGTGGAGGAAAGTTTGGCAGCACAGAGCGTGAAGTTAGCTGAGAACTAACCCTAGCTTTCTGTCAGAAAAGACACTTCTATAAATTTTCTCTTCGCTGTTGTCAGTAGAGGAAAAAAGAAGTCACGTTGTTGTGCTGAGGGGCTGTGAATGTCAAAGGCAGCTTTTGTTTCCTTCACTGTACAGATCAAAGCTGCTCACAGCGCGAAGCTTTACGTTCCTGTGGTTATGATGTAAATTTAAGTCTGTCTGAGGATAACTGAGCTGTTTTGTTTTATTCAGAAATACTTGACTTTTCACTGACAAATGTAAGTTAGAAATTTTATAATAAATTACATTTTATTTTATTTATTTTTCTTATCATAGTATGTACCTTTTTTTATTTCCTGTATGTATTAGATTAATTATACAGCACCACCTATTGTTCTCTTTCTGCATTAGCACCTGCCGGTTAATTAAAGCTGTTATTTGATTGGCTGATATTAACGTCCTCATTAACAGTTTTACTCAGTGATAGGGATCAATCACAGCCCAGAATGGGAAAAGTGACGTTTTGAACCTAACCTTAAAAAATACTCTCTGGAGACTGAGCTCCAGGTTATTAACAGTTCAGCTTCAAGGTGTTGGTGCCACCTAGAGTTAGTGTTTTATATACGTGGAACTGTTCTCCATCTTCCTCCAGCCGGCGCCACTGTGGATCATCTGTCGACCTCCAACCCAACCCTTTGCTCTTGGCCACCTTTTCCTTCTGCAGCTTCTTGGCACTAACCTGGTCGTCCGTCAACCACACACTCCGTATTTGTCCAGTTCCTGTCACCTCCCTCCACTTGTTTTTCACCCCTTCTGTCTACTTTAATCTCTTAGTCTCTCCATCTTTCTCAACCTCCGTTTAATCCCTCATCCTTCTTTCCACTTGCCTCTCCCTCACCCTCTGTTCGCTTCCCTGTGTCTCCCCCATCTTCCCCCTGTCTCCTCTCTCCTCCTCCCTCTGTCTCCCTGGTGTTATATTAATAATGGAGAGGGTGCATGTTCTGCCAGACTCCATAAATTAACCATTCGATGGGAAGGAGTATTGAGAGAAGTTGAGCAACTTGGAGGAGGAGGAGGAGGAGGAGGCTGGCATGGATAGGGGAGAGCAGGAGGGGGGTGAATTTAGGAGATGGCTGCTCGGGTGAGGAAATGGAAATGTCTGAGGTTTGATCCCACAGTCTCACTTATTTACAAGATGATCATCCTACACTACAAGAGAATGTATTTTTTCCTTCTGTGGTCAGACTTCCCTGTCAGTGAGGTTCACTTAATTACCATCGAACCCTCAGTGGAACCCTCCGGAAAAGGTGGGTCTCTGACACTGTAGAGAAGAGATTCCAAAAATTGTGCAGCTGACAAATTCTAGGGAGTGGAACTATGTAAATATATTCCAACAAATCCACATAAGCAGAGGAGCCTAAATACATGTATACAATACACATTAAAACTATAAAAAAAAATACATCATTGGTGCAAGTCATCACTGATGTATAATTCTGTTAAGCCAGAAATGAATTGTAAATGCTGGAAATTGTATTTATATAAGAGCAAATAAAAAAGAAGTGAGCACAAACTGTAACACAAGGTAATTACCTTATCCAACCACAGGGGGACAAGTTCTAGACCTTTTCTGTAAATGGCAGGAAGTGCATCTGCTGAAAAACCTCAGCCAATTGCTATGTACGGGGATTATCGATGCTAAGGGGAGCAGCCAAAAGCTGTAAAATGAGGAGATGAAGAAAGGTATGACGAAGCAAAAAAAAAGAAGTCATAAACTGAGAAGGATTTTTTTTTTACTTGGTGTCACACTTCAGCAATCTTTAGTCTGCCTGGTCGCCTTCTCTTC